ACTTTTTTTACGCAAATTCATTGATCTTTTCAAATCTTTTTTCAAATTTCCAAAATTTTGAAAATTTTCCGAGATATTAAGAAAAAACTAAAGCCCCATTTTTTTCACTTAATTGTTTATAACTTTTGTAATTTTTATCGGCGCGTTTTCGGACCTTTCCTTAAACTTTCAAGGCAAAAATACGAATCTAATGACACCTTGGTCGTAATTTTTGGACAGGGCTGAAAAAGTCACCAAAAAGATCTAAATCGAGTACATGTGAACCAGACTAATGACGTTTCAAACTGTATTGATTTCATTTTTGACAGTATTGGCTTTGAGGATAATCAGAGCACTATCTCTGTTGCTTCACCACCTTTGATAACAACTAACTCAGTAGTAGACTCTATAGTACAAAGATGTAACTGACATCCTATTTCTGGAAAGATATCTTGAAGATGTTTCAAAGATATCTTTGAAAGACATCTTCAAGATTACTTTGAATAATAGAAATGAAAAAATAGTGTCACACTTTGCGATGAGAGTTAGGTATTTCTTTCTGTTAGATTATATTTGGTCATGAAATTCTGTCGATGGGATATTCAAACTCACCTAGGAATCTCTTTGAACCATCCATGATTATGTAACAAATCATCCAAAAAGTAAACATTTCGAACATTATAAGACGCCCTTTCTTCTTTATTGATCTTCAAAGCTTTCGGCAGAACTTTTTCCATTAGCTCCTTCCAAGTGGTCCCTTCCAGCGGCATTATCACTTCGTCAATGTCTAGAAGGGCAATGTACTTGTACTCGTACATATGTTTGTAAAAACAGTCATTGTACGGGATCAGTTCATTTTGCCTTTTGTGATTCGTTTTCTTCGTTAAGTAAAGGTGTTGAAAAGACGGGGCATTCGGTTGTCCTCCGGCTAGATTGATTGGAGTTACTTGCACCTTGAACAAAAAGAAATACATAATTTTTGACTTCATTGATGAAATAAGTAGGTAGTAATTTTTGATAAATGTATCTTCCATAACCAAATAAGCTGTAAATCAGCATTAGGCAACCATAACTGAGGTTATTGCAACCAAAGAGCATGTGACTCATTCTCATATTTCACATTTTTGACATGGAAAAAGAAAGAAAATCACGACCTCTCATTCGATATTTCTGAGGCATTTGAATGTGTGTATTGTTTTGTGGAGTATATTGAAGATAGGTCATGTTGAGTTTTGATTTGTATTTGTTACTTGATAAGTGAATTATGACTTTTGAATACACATTCCTATAGAAAACCACTTCCCTGGAAATCTGACTCTTGACCGCCCATCTTCGAGGGCGCTACACGCCTAAAAAAGAACGACTGGGACGTCGTAAAAAAGGTTATCACAGCACCGGCAGTTGAATGGGCTATCAAGTCTTTTCAGCCCTTCAAATCTTTCGGAGAGGATTGTATATTTCCAGCTCTTCTTCAAAACGGACTGGAAATAATTTTACCTATTCTCACAAAATTGTATAGAGCTGGTCTGGCGTGAAACTATAAACCACCCAGTTGGTCAGCAGCAAGGGTAGTATATTGGTACGACCAATCAGCTTTACATCCTTCCTGTTGAAGGGACTTGAGAGGATACTAAATGGACACACCAGGAAGGTGGCTTGATACGCATGCCCCCCCCCACCCCGAATAATCCCCAGTATGCATATCAAACCGGCAAATCGACATATTTAGCATTAAACACGACATGCCAAACCAATGATCACTTATGGAGCAATTGCCTGGTGGCGAAAGGCTTTGCAGAAAACACCTCAGGCGAAGCTCTCTGACTTACAGAGACAGGCTTGTCTGGCCATCAGTGGTGCCATCAGTACCGTCAGCGGCTAAAGAGATCCTTCTAGATCTACCTCCTCTCCACATTTTTCTGAAGAGAGAGGTTAGATGGATTGCATATAGACTTGTGCGTATTGCCAATTGCACAAATCAATTGAAGCAGAGTGCAACAGACTGATCCTGAGTAAAGAGGACTGGATCCTCCGGGAGAAGGAAATATTAAGATCAGATAGTTGTTGGTTCACAGATGGATCAAAAACACCTTCAGGTTCTGGTGCAGGAGTTTTCAGTCGCAGACCCAGGTAAGAGATATCAACTTGCCCAGGAACCTATGANCAAATATATCAGTGTAAATTTATATTTCAATTTTTCGATTCATGTTATAAGGCCATGTAGCCCTGTTTGAATCATAAATGAATAGATAAATATATTTTCGACAAACACTGCCTACTTTACTAATTAGCAAGTAGCGTAAGGCAGAAATACGCAACACTCTCCGCTCCGCTTTCATTGGGGATTATGGGTTTTTCTGTAGTATGTTTGTAGTATGAAACTTGACATCTCACCACAAAACATCTCACATTGATAAACATGAAAATTTGATGTTTATTACATTTGATCATCGTGCATTAGAATAAGAAACCAGAATAACAAAAAAGTATCCATGAAATTAGAAAATCATGGAATCTGACTTTTCAACTTACCTTTCCTTCCTGCTCGTAATGCTTCAAAACTTTACTAATGTTCGGATGTACTTGCAACTCATAAAAAAATACTTTGTCGGCTCCAAGCAAATTCAGAAGTTCGATCCATTCGACTAGTCTCACAGATAGATCTTCATGGAGGAAATCGAGCCCTTTCACGCAAACGGCGAAGTCCTTCTTCTCAATTGGTTTTTCGTAAATGATTCGCAGGTTGTTAGTGGAGTTGTCGCACTGTTTTTCCACTAAAGAAATCGACTGAGGTATGTGGTCTCTGAACTTCTGGGGAATGACACATGCTATCAGGTACGGCTGGTAAATCCCTTGTTTATAGTTGCCCCATTTTTTGTACCTTGAACAGATTAAGGTAATTGAGCAGTCTTCTAGATATTGAAATTTTCAATGATTAGTTTATTGATGTGTCTACTAACAAATTGTCTACTAATAAATTGATCAACGGAGTGGAAATGAAATACAGCAGTGAGATACTTAATTGCAAAAATTTGTTAAAACAACGTTTGGTGTTATAGGACATGCATTGTTGCATTTTATAAATACATCTTTGAGCACTGGCAGATTCCCGAAGGAGCTCAAAACTAGTGTCCTTGTGCCAATTCGGAATGTCCCTAACACAAATAAATCCTGGGAACTTGACCAATCAACACTTTTCCTTGTATTGAAAAAATATTAGGACTCGCAGTTCATAATCAACTCATTGAATATCTAGAAAATAATGATTTTTTTACTAAAATATCAGTCAGGTTTCAGAAAACACCATTCATGTGGGTCTGCATTACAAGTCACAATATCAAAATGGAAAGAATCAATAGATGAGGGACATTATATTGTAGCCGTATTTTTAGATCTTAAAAGAGCTTTTGAGACAATTGATCGCCACATATTACTAAATAAACTGCAAGGTATTGGTATCAAGAAACTGTTTTGTTATGGCTGACTGATTATTTATCACAACGCAAACAGGTAACCAAAATGAAGGATTCAGTGTAATTATTTCGCGATGTCGTTTTCGGGGTATCTCAGGGGAGTGTTTTGGGACCTATATTATTTTGAATCTACCTAAATGATATGGATACCGTCTATGGTGTGATTTCATGAACCTTTTTGCAGACGATACTTTGTTATCAATTTCAGGAGATAATATAGAAACACTGGCTGGTCAAATGATTAATGAACTAAGAAATGTTTTCAAGTACATGAATGGAATCACTGAAAAATGCGTTTCTTTTTTTTCTTCATATAATCATTTTTGTTATTTATATGTCATTTATTTGTATATTTTTTAAACAATGTATGCATATTAGGATGTCCTAAAGAAATCAATGAACATTATTACTATTAAACTATCTACGCCACATGAATTATTTGATTATTTTAGAAAGTATACATTGAATGAATAAGTCACTCATGTTCCAATAAATATCTATTTAATTGCCTATGAAAAGAAAAAAATCCTTAGATTTGACTTGATCGTTTTCATCGACATAAATTGTTTCTCATAAAATACATATTTGGAATTGAAATGAAGTAATAAAATCAACGATACATTGACAATTCACCTAGTCAAGATTAATTTTTTTAAATACACGTTTCTTTAAAAAACACTGAGTATATCAGGATATAGTGAAATGCAAAATCCGAGCATTTTGAAGAGAATTTCAAGTCTTTTCAAACGACCCCTTAATTGACCCCAAAGCGATTTGAAAATTTTGGGGTGATTGTCATCCTTGCGAAAGGAGGTGGAACCAAAAATAGCTAAAGAGTGTCAGTGAAAAATTGAGAGGTTCTTTTGCGTTTTTCTAAAATGTTGATTCACTCCCGGATAACGACCCTGTTTCTGTAATAAAAAACTAATGAGATCGTACTTGATTGGCAGAACACAGCGGGTACGTGTGGTGTACCTCAAGGCACGGTGGAACCAATTCTCTTCATAATATATATGAAAAATTTCTTATTCACAAAAGGAGATTGTTAAATAATACGTTTCGCAGATGATACTGTCATTATATACGAAGATGAAATCTGGAAAAAACTGAAAAAAAAATGAAAATAACTTTCTTTACATTATAAAATTGCTAAAATATAGAGTGCTTTCCGATAAACCTGAAAAAACCCTGTAACTAAATTTTTGCAGCAACAAAACAGGTCTTCCGCATTTCAATCAAAGCACACTGGATGATAACTTCGCCATACTCTAAGCAGATAAAATCAATTATAATTGAAAACATTCAAAGTGGAACTCACATGTAGAATATCTGGTAAAAAAAACTCCGATGCATTTTGTGGAGATTCAAAAATTTTCAGGAATATTCGATACAAAACAACTTAAAATTATATATATAT